CCAAAACAAGTCAGGAAATCTCTAAATTATTTGCACTGCAAAAAAAAATAACTATTGTGTAACTATGAACAAAAATTCAGGTCAGTAACTTAACTGGGATGTGGATTCAAGTCATCTGCATGAGGTGATATAGGACAAGAACTTGAACCCTGAATCTCATCCATGCCTGAACCATCAAACGTCCTTTCAATTCAAGTCACTCAATTCAAGTCCAGTCAAGACAGGGTTACGTGTGCTATCATGATCCAAAAATGGTAACCAAATGACAATAATGGGCTGGGCTATACCATTAATGTAAACAAAATCCATGATACCTACAGTTCAACTCAAGTAGCGATGGTGACGATAGTGACGCAGCCAATTTTTCATCATAAACAAATGTTTAACACAACAAATCTTGATAAATAATTACTTACGAGGCACACTGATAGATAGCAGACACCACTGTAATGATATCGTGATGAAAGCTAAGTAAAATGTTCATAATTTTACAGAATCATTGACACGTGTCACGTGGCATCTCTTCCACAATGGCAGCCTTGCAGGCGGCGGCCATTTGCATTTAGGCACGAAACGCACGGAATTAACAAAGTTTTTTTCTTTTTTGCTTAAAGGGACCCTCCCACCTTCGAAAAAGTTTATGAATTGGCATGAAAGTGATGTCGCTCGGTTCAGAAAGAGCGAAAACGAATATCTACCAAATTTCACCGAAAAATATTCACCGGTTTTCAAGATATTAGACTTTTACTTTTGTTTACTTTTTTGGGATCTCCGCTGTTTCTAGCGACTTTATTTTAGAAGTGCGGCGTTTGCGGCAGATGTTGCGCGCAAATATCATATACCACCGCGTGCTACAAAACGTTTTAGTCAAACATTAAAAAATCGTTAGATATTTGCGCTGACGTCACACATTCAGAGGGGTATTCCTAAGCATTAGCCCCTCTGAATCAAAATGCTGCAATTTTGAAATTCAATATTTCCGATTTAAGGCATTTCTCGATGTTGTGAGTGCCGAAACCGGTAATTGTGAGCCAGGAACCCCATTTTGGCTATCTCAACTCAAATCTAATGTTAAGGTGGGAGGGTCCCTTTAAGAACACTTACGTTATTAATATGATGTTTATATTTTGGCATCTTAAAATTAATTTAAGAAAGATTGTAGGCTGTTATTGATAAAAAATGAAGAACCAGAAAAACAAATTTGCTCAATTATTTTTAATTAGCTATTGAGGTACATCGGGTTTTGGCGCAGCTGCGACATCATCAAGTTCTTAGTTGTGTTCAGTTTTTAAACTGCTAGTTGCGAATCAAGCCAAGACCCAATTATATTTTAGGAATGCTTTTGATTACATTGCTAGCGATTTCTATCTCTTGAGGAGAGCAGGAAAGAGAACACTAATTAAAGAAAATAAATTATCCACAGGATCTTTTTGAAGTTGAGAGAAGTTGAGAATTTGTGGGGTGATGATAAAGTGATAAATGCTGCCTTCAATATTAGATGATAATGGTGAAGCTAGTGCTATAAAAAACAGGGTTTTGGCTTTTGGATAATGTAACTGCATCGCATGTAACTGCATAACTGCATCGTCCGGACTGACCCCGACCAGGATCCCTCAGTCACTCCAGGCACCGGAAGAAGAGCCAGTTGCGGGGCCGCCACTCGATTCAGAGGCTGATCCGCCGACACACCCACCAGCACCGACCCCTGCGGACGGCTTTCGTGAGGAGCGACGCGTAACACGCTCTCGGTCCTCCTCTCTATGCTGCCCCGGAGCATGCGCATGTCCCACTTTCACAAGTGGGTCCAGGGCTTGAACGCTCCGAGACATGCCCATTTTTTATAGTTGCTGCGATGTTTAAAAATACCGCTACTGTTGTCCGTTTCCGTTTGCGCTAAAATCCTGTGCCAATGCTGTGTGCTTGGTTCTGTTCCCGGTGAAATAACTGCATTGCAGTGAAATGGAGAGCAAGACAAGGTCAAGATCAATCACAGACTCATCAAAACAAAGTCAAATTTGTTACTAATGAATGCTTGGGAAATTTTGAGTAAGGTAGTTGAAGTATGCTTTCCAGTATACAGTGAGTTAAACATTGATACATGTTTATGTCTTGCACATTAGTTTTTTTTTGTAAGATGATTATCCTCATGGTATTGGAATTTGCTAGCACTGATAACTTGCCATTTAACATTGGTAGACTGATGTGTTTGATGTTACAGTTAATGTGTTTGCCCATTTCTTGTGACATCACATGCATTTGGGAGAAATGTGTCATGATTGTCCTTTTTCTTCATCCAATGTCATTTAGCAAATCAAATTTGAGTTCAGAAGGTTTATAAAAAATGTTTTCAATTTTTCATGACAGTAGTTGACTTTAATAATACCGACAAAATACCAAATGCTTTTGGTATAAAATACCGAATACCGAATCGGTATTGGTTCGGTATCGGTATACCGAAATTTTGGTAACCGATTGACATCACTAGAGCAAACTCACCGAAAACCATGAGGTGCGACCTATCAAAAGGACTGATAGCTATCAGCAAGACGTAATCACTCCTACAATAATGTTCGCCTTTTAATGCATTATACGAGGCTGAAGCAATCGAGGAGTGGCAGCTCTGCGATCAAATAAGTCCCTATTGAATTAGCTGTCGGCCCCGACCAAACGACACCACCAAAATCCTTCGGCCAGGTGGTTCTGACTGATTGGCCTCATCTCCGCAGTGCACGGCGGCCGCGGTAAATGTGGCGGTCGGGTGCAGCAATAATCAGCCTGCAGCTTTGGACGGTTGGCTCTGACGGCAGCGCCAAACGAGAGGGGGCGGCTCGGCGGCTGGGGCCGACAGACACAGCCCCGACGGACCTAATGAGATCAGCCACCGCGGTAGAGCGGAAGGACAGCCGCGCAGCGTGGGTGGAGAGATCGGAGGCGGTAAGCAGTCTGAGCCGAACTCATAGTTTACATACCTATATAGCAATGACAGTATTTAGATTTGGTGTTGATATGGCGTCGCAGCGGTTCTTTTTATGCTTAACTAGCCGTACGTTTATCCATAAAAACATCTTTTTTACACAAGTTGCATTTGCATTGCATTTATATATATATAATCATGAGCCTTAAAACCGCGCTTTCTTTCATCAAGTATTAACATAAGCATCAATGAGTTGACTTGATTTTCACCGTCTGCATATGCGGCTTGGTGTAGAGCCCGTAAAACAAATAAACTATTTCCATGTTTAGCAGACGCGATTGCATTGAACACAGCTGTTACCCTCGCAATATGGCCTCTAAGTGGTGCTTGCTGACGCTTTCTCAGACATACGCCATGTTTCTTCCAAATGCCTCGGGCGTTCATAACTCGGCCAGCTACGGCAATATCCCTCAATCCTGATGCCAGAAAATGCGGTACAATTTAAGACCTACAGGCAATCAATGCCAATATACGTCCAATTTAGTGTTCGGGTTTCACCTCCCTGAGGAAACATACCGCCCAAGCGAGGTCTTTCGTTGAAAGTTCGTTAAATTATTTCAAAGTTCTCCATTAGCCTTATTGGAAAGTGCAATAGCCGCCGAATTATGACTGATCCCCTCCCGCCAGTGGGATGCATTAATATCTCACTAAAGGTCACGTCCATTAGACCTCGATTCTCTCAGCCGCGGCTGATATTACTGACAGAACAGCACACAGGCATTTGTGCTCCAATAGCTGATCTATCACCTACCGATTTGCCTGGGATCCAGGAGATCCAGAAATACCGGCATATTTGTCAGTGGTGCCAGGCGGGCTGTGCCAGGGTGATTCTGCGATATATTGGCCCAGTTTACTGTGCACTATACGGACCATAAACTATTATATTCCGAAACCAAACGAGCAAACCATCACAAAACGTAATTCACGATCATTTAATGACAAGCACAGGCCTTTCTCGCACTTAAATCCCACTTTATACCCAAATAACGGTACGAACTCAGTAGCCAGCTAAAAGACGTCGCGGTTCAAAACCCTACGCAGCCGGCGCAGTTATTCTGTCGGTAAACGGGACAGAAATACAATCTGTCCGGCCCGAGCGGTGGACGTCAGACCATCGTTGACGATAAGTGACATCCTCTGATTGAGTTCATTATTCCATCACGGCGGGATGGAACAAGATTAGCCGGCCGGTCCGCAGTGGCCCCCTATGGGACAGTTGGCCTGACATCGCGCGATTTCCACCGCGAGCTACGGAGGCGGTTTAATTATACAGACGTGTGCCATTTCAATTGAGCGGGGAGTCTGTGCAGTTTGGTGGAGCGCTTGGTGCGATAAAGTATGCCGAGGCTCATGCCTGTTTAATATATGAGCCATGCATTTACTAATAAAACAGCAAATGTTATAAAAGATAAGCAGAACAAAAACTCGTCATAGTGTTTAGCCGTCCAAATGCGCTGCTTCTTCTAGGTCTCAATTACCAGCTCTCAAAGTTAGCGGTGTTTCGTGCCTCGCCATTGCACCCGAGCGGCTCCGAGATCTGATTAGCATTAAATGTCACCAGCTACTTAGCGGACACTCTGTATTCAGTGCCATGTCTGGAGTTCCGGGCACTCCATCTCCAGTGTTCAGTTACGACCGCTCCTTTCTCAGAGTTTGGAGTTTCGGACTTTCATTAACCTCGACGCTATTGCCCTCCGCAAGTTACTAAATGAATTCGTAGTGGCAATATCGCACCCATCGTGAGATGTGCTACTTGGAGGCGAAGTCCATAGCGTCGGTTTGTTAGTTACGCTTGCTGTTACTGCAGCATTCATTCATAACCAAGGACATTCATCACAAACCACTAACTTTTCAAGTTCCCTCACTGGTAATCTTACTCCGTCTAATAAATCATGCAACTCACTACTCTCAACGCCGAACGCCTACTATGCAGAATGTAAACTCCTAACAACTCATCCTCACCCCACAACACACAAACACAAACGTCAAACATACATACACTCTCCAAATCTTAGGTAACACTCACCCATCGCTAGCGATGCTAGAGTTCCTGGACATGGTCTTGGGCGACATTTCAAAGTCCGAGTCGGATTTGTAGATGAACGACTCGCGTCGTTGCGGCAGGCTCTGCAGAACCAGGCCCGTGGATGGTGACGAGCCGTCACCACGTCCGTGTACGCCGCCATTTTCAACGTCGAAACTGCAACGGAAGGAGGCGACCGTCAAACACGAGAAGGTGGTACGATAGTGAGGGATGCAAGTACAGCTACATGTTGTAACAGAAAGCATCTTCAACCAAGTCCATTGCATTGCCGGTGGGGCTCTGCACCAGCGTGGTCTCAAGTATGGGTCATGTTTTGAGGCACAGCGAGGGTCCAGTGCGACTGAGATCGGCATCATTAGGGGCCAACCCGTACAAACGGTGTAGTAATACATCATGGGAGATAACACTGGGGACACCATAGACGTGACTTCGGTGCTGACTGGGCTAAACGGCCGCCATTTGACCTGAATTCGATACATGATGAATGTCAAGCCATAACTCCAAAGTCCCGGGTAACTAAGACGGTCATTTATCTATGAAGACACCAGCGTGACCTCTACCAATCCGAATGATAGAGGCGAAAAGGGTTCAGTATTTGGTTCAATTCGAAGAAACTCTGTCCCTTGGCTAACAGTGACACATCCTTTGAAATGTTTTGCAATCCCAGCCTGAATGGCAGTATGAGTTTGTTCAAAGCTGGTTATTTGGATGCTTCCTTGCTTCTCTGGAATTTAAGGGCTATTATATTCGTAAGGATATTTATAAGTAATATGAATATTAAATTGAAATAAGGGGATATGTGATGCAAGACAGGCTGCCAAACATCTGTTTTTTTTCTTGAAATGCAGTGGTCCATCGTACAAAAGGTTATCTATTCAAATCACATTGAGCTTGACCTTCAGTACACTGCACAAAGCGACTTAAAATGTCGTGTCGCGACGTCGTGTCATATCTCATTTTTGTATGCACTTGTGCGCTATCAGCATCACATTATTCGTAAAAGGGCAAAGTAAAGGGCATCTCCTTTGTTTTCGCCATTCATCATGCAGTGTTGCAAGACGATCACAACTTGCAGAAGCTTATGAGGACTCTGTTGTCGATTCAGTATCGCGTGTCTTTGCATTGAAGTTTTTCTCATTAGAAGTTTGACGTTGAATCGATACCGATAACCAGTCGATATTCAAATGTGGCCTCTACATCAGTGTGATCAGTCTCATTTTTGGTAACGATTAATGTGGGGGTCAGCGGAACTTTACAACCACAAACATCTAACTAAGCCTTCAGTGCAAGTGCAAGCAGAATCATTATCTGTAACAGATTACAGAAGCAGAAGAGCACAACAGTGCACAATTTGTTCTCATAATAGAACACACCAACTCCAATTAAACCTGACATTGTTTTGGCAGCCAGTGTCTACTCGATTTGGTATAGCCAATCATCACTCACAATGCAGTCGACACCGCATTGATTCAGTAGCGCATCATTCAGATATGATAAGTGTTGTGCTCACTGTCGCTATAGACACCGGGTCTATCAGATGTACGAATACAGCAATCAAGTCAAACATATAGAGCTATATCGAGTCGGGCTCAGCCGTGGTGCTAATATTAATCGCAGCACAATCGGTGATCAGAGGTTGGATCGGCTCGGAAACACTTGAGGCAGCTGCCCGAGCCTCCGAGCTTCGGCAATCTACCTGCTCGAAGGCTATTTCCTGAGCTGAGACCGGAGGATGACGGGATCAGGAGACACTGAGCGAGGCTCGCGATGTTTTATGGCAGATTGGCAGGGAGCCACGTCACTGATGACGTAAAAAGTAATGGCTTTATCCTAGTTGAATCAGACGTATATGACAGCGATGTTACAGACAATCAAGCAAACAATCTACTCGTATTATTATCGGTGTACCACACCACGTCTGTGGTAACGATGCTAGGTTTCATCAATCAGAATTTAGCTATGGAAAATAGTGCAGATGACATGTTATATACGTTAAAAAATATTGCACTTAAACTTTATAAGCTTTTGTGCTGGTGTCAACTTGCGTGTTGTCGCAGTGGGACATACGTCATATGTCATATATTTCCATCTCCATTCACCTGGTCCCCACGATCGCGATATCACCCACGTCACTGTAGCCCGTGTAGGCAACGTCTACGGACAGCTTTCAGTGCTTACATGCTGCCCACTAATGTCCCATTGACGTGTCCCATTTATCCCATCTGAGCTACTTAATAAGACCTGCTCTTTACCGATCGTTTCAGTAACCACGATAGGACTTCCCGCCGTGCTGGGAAATGGATTTGCCTGACGTATGTACAAATATGGCACAATATATTGGGCGGTTGGCGATGCCTAGAGAAACTCGGCTTGCTCGTGTGCATTGTGCGCGTTTGGTGCGCGTCATGTTTGTGTGTATGTGTGTTTGTGCGCGCGCCTGTATGCTATTGTAGTTATTGTTCGGTGAGCCGCGCTGGGCGACTGATTGGCTGTTACAAAGCAGCTGGGATCCCGGATCTACGTCAGTGCTGTGACACCGATCAATGGCTCTGGTGCCCACACAGATTGTCGCAGCTTTTAGTCCACCTTCGACTAGGTTATATATATATTCATCCCTAAAAAATAGTGAAAAAAATAAAGAAAAGTGAATGAATAGCTTTGATAAAATATGTTCTTGAAAGCATCTGGGACATTTCATCTAAACTGAATGTCGGTAATATTTTCAGCACTTCACGAAAGCTTTTACTTTTTAACACCCCATAGCATTCTATTTAAGCACTTCAACCTCTGCTCAGACCATATCTTTGCATCTTTACCATGCACTCATAAAAGTTGGAGCCCTACGAAAACAGCCCATTATCGGGTTAGCGGGGCGCGCTTAGGAGTGATGGGGGATCACGAGCCGGCTTTACAGCGCGTCATGCGGCTCTTTGGCCGCCAGAGTCACGGTGGCTGCGGCTGCTGAAACGCCGCGGACTCGGCCATCAGAGCAGCCATAGTCTGGGTACCGACCGGGACGGCGGAGACGGAAACGGGGGGGGGGACAGGCAGAGGCCTGGGAGGAGACTGCAGGCAGAATTCTGGAGAGGTGGAGCAGTGGTCTGGAAGGAGGGTATAGGCAGAGATCAGGGAGAGGGCGGGACAGAGTTCAGAGACCCGAGTCTGGATAAGGTAGACCTCTGATCAGGGGTGTCCAGGGGATCAGAGACAGGTCCGGAGAGGCGGAGAAGCCAGATGAGGGACAGAGGAGAGATCAGGGAGAGAATAGGACAGACGTCCAGAAAAACTGGAAAGGGCCGAGGCAGAGCCGGACCTCAGAAAGGGACAAGACAGAATCTCAAAGGTCTGATAGGATGTTTTGACACCCAGGGTAATGCAGAAGAAAATACAGCGTCGCACTCCGCGGTAAGGAGTGGAGAGAATGCCATACCAAAATAAGAACCATGACAAAGGATGAAGTAGCCGGAGTGTTCGGGCGGCCGTTCCAGAGAGCCCGCGGTTCCAGGAAGGGATCAGAGGCGGCCTGTAGGCAGGAATGACCCGAGGGCATCGTCGTGTCCGACGACCGACGACCGAACTGCGCCATTCTCCGGGGGAGATGGAGCGTCTTCCAGAGTCCGCGGACAGGGGACGATAATGGGGCGAGGAAACAGCCCGTACGGACTGGGCCCAGCGCGCTGAGCGACGCACGCTGCCAACTACACCGCGCGCCACGACCACTGCTGGCAGCCCAACAGTCTCCGATCGACAGCGTCGTCAATAGAAATGGTCGCCATGACACCATGAGGTCACCAGGTTGGTATAGATGTACATACCTAGTTTATGTAAACGTTCGGAGAAAATACCTAGATTTTCACGCGCCTGCTGTGACAATAAGTAGGATTGCAATACCCTTAACTGTTGTACTTCTCCTCTTTGTCGTGTGGTCACAACTGCTTTCCGAATTGTTGTATTTTCGCGTGTATGAGCTCAAGTGAAGTCGTGCATTGCATATACATTTTTCAGCATTGATGTAAGGTAGTTATAGCCATAAATTACTGCGACCATATCAAATGTTCAAATGTGCAAATGTTTCAAAGTTTGAAATTAAATTCAGATTGTTCAATTCAGTCTCAAGAAACTGTTGAAAATCAAAGAAACCTGGCGATGACAGACCAGAAATTGAGGTGAGTAGCTTTGTAGACGCCCCCTCAGGACTTACTTCATACTGTGAATATTATGCTAGCAAAACATTTCTACTTGGAGTTCCGGCAGCTTTACTAAAAGTTTATGACCAAAAGTTTGGTGCAGATGGAGATCAGAACAGTCGTTCGAGAGCATAGACCGAGCAAATGTTATCATAAGCTTTGTTACAGTAACACGGCATCCTTGGCGCGCCCCAAGGAATAACATCTAGCTTAATTGCAAAACGATGTTCAGTAGTATTGCTTGTTATGTCCTTAAGCAACCTTTACTCGCATGGTATGGTACGTGCTCAAAACAGCATCTGCGGGCTACTCGGAAGCAGCTCTCGGAAAAATGCGGCTCGTCTGGAAAGGTCACAAATAAGCACCTTCGTGGAAACACATCTCCAGAATGCCTTTAATGTTTGCATCACAATACATTAGCGGTCAAGTTGAAAGATCGTAAGCCTTTTACCATGGATATTCTGGAAATCCATAACATCTAGAATAATGGCTTCCAGCTACTAAGACATAACACCTGTTACAGAAAGACAACATCTTAAATCCGTCCTTACATGTGATGTCTGCCGACAATGGCACACTCGTGATGTAAGTACAATTCGTTGGTCGTGCATCTGTTTCATTCACTGTGTCAACCTACATTCCTGATGGCTAGTGATTCCTAACTCAACAATTTTACTTACCGAACCATGACATTCCTGCATTTTGCACCAGCAAGTTGTAAGTGGCATGGGTTTCAACCAAATCCCACAAACGGATGGCTAGCTTATACTCGGACAGTTCGTAAACCCAGCTTAGTGTTGTGGATTGCTATAGGACTGGCATGTGAACATTACGGAAATGGGTTCCTGGAGGTGAAATGTGGTCCAGCAATCTCACAAAGTGTAAAAAGAGTCCACAGAGAGCAGAATAAATGACATTCAGCAGGAGGTGACAGAATCCACAGGGATTCATTCATTTATCAGAAGAAAA